ATTATTATTATTATTATTATTATTATTATTATTATTATTATTATTATTATTATTATTATTATTATTATTATTATTATTATTATTATTATTATTATTATTATTATTATTATTATTATTATTATTATTATTATTATTATTATTATTATTATTATTATTATTATTATTATTATTATTATTATTATTATTATTATTATTATTATTATTATTATTATTATTATTATTATTATTATTATTATTATTATTATTATTATTATTATTATTATTATTATTATTATTATTATTATTATTATTATTATTATTATTATTATTATTATTATTATTATTATTATTATTATTATTATTATTATTATTATTATTATTATTATTAATAAATACCTTTCGGTTAAAAATTCTTTAAACGATATAAATAATTTTTTTTTAAATTAATGGATTATCACACCCCCCCCCCCGCCCCCTCTACGTCTTTTTCAAAACTTTTTTATAATAATAATAATAAAAAGATAACCTATTTTTAAATCTAGTATTATTATAATTAATCGTATTATTTAATAATAGCAAAAAATAAAATAAATTTTTTCTTTTTGTTTCAGAAACTTTTCGATTCGTGTGTAAATTTTTAAAACATCATCATCATCATCATCATCATGGTTGCGTAAAAAACAGAAAAATTTCTAAACCGAATGTTTTTTTTTCGAATTAATAATATAGACGAGTTGTTATATTGTTGTTTCGACGGAAAAGTTTTTTTTTATTTTCCTACACAAAAGAAAAGAAAAATTAAAAATTAGATTTTCATTGTTCAGAGAAACCATTGTGGTATTTATTAATAACAAAAGGAAAGAGAGAGAGAGAAAAAAAAACAAATGGCAATATAAATAATTTATTACCTGAATAAATTTCTACGGTGAAATATCATTATTATTATTATTACATTAATCAAAATCTAGTAAATGAAATAAAAAGAAAAATAATGATGATGATGATAATAACAAAAAGAACAAATAAATACAACCGAGAGAATTCGATAAAAAAAAAATTGAAACAACGAAAACAAAAGCTATCAAATTGTAAAAGAAAAACGATAAAGATTCAATAAAAGGTAATCGATTAATAATCGATAATGATCGATTGATCGATCGATCGATCGATAAATAGGAAAAAAGCAAATGAGATGATAATTTCGTTAAAATTTTTTGTTGATTTTAGGATGAGAAGAGTAAAGAAATGAACGACGACGATGATGATGATGATGATGATGACGATGGTGGTGATAACGGTCGCGGTGTTGATAAAATAATAATAAATTAAAA